AAATTTGATTGAATATCCATTTGTGCATTTATTTTCTGTTTAGAAATAATTGCTTTGCTCGAGCGAAGCCTTGGTCGCTCGAGCGACCAGACACAGAGAATCTACGCTCGAGCCAAGGAAGCCTTGCTCGAGCCAACAACCCAAAAGCTCGCTCGAGCGAAAGAAAGCTCGATCGAGCGAAGAACTCAAACCCTCAGGTCTGAAACCAGACTCACGCTCGAGCGAAGGAACTATTGCTCGAGCGAAGAACAAACTAACTCGCTCGAGCGAAGAAAAGCTCGCTCGAGCCAAGAATGCAAAGCTACAGGTCCAACCCAGACGCAAACTCTCGCTCGAGCTACCAAACCCCGGCTCGAGCGAAGAACCAAAACAACATCTCGCTCGAGCGACAAACTCCTCGCTCGAGCGAATAACCAAAATTCTGGACAGCAACACTAGGTTTCTAAACCCAACCAACCTGAACAAACCTGCCCAACACATCCTATAATTCCAAAAGAGAAAATAAGGAACAACAACAACAACCATTATACAATGACAGAATCTACGGAACAGTCCGGATACAATAATCAAATGGGAAAAGACCGGGGTCGTTATATATAGTGTTGGGTGCCTAGTAATTAAATCTTTTGTTGGTTTGCACGTGTGTACCTATGCTTAATTATATCTAGGCTCGTTTTGAGTTTTGTTATTATTTTGGGCATTGGCATCTAAACCTAATTAGTTTGTTTCTGAACTTATAAAATTAGTTAGTTAGCATGCACATATTGACATTTATGTAATTTGCATTTGGGGTTTGTGAGCTTCTTCGCTGCTTTGAAAGCCTAAACTTGAGAGTTGTAATCTTAATGACTAAATTTTAATTATCTTTTATGTATTAGTATCTTATTCTAAGTAATTGTAATGAAATTGAGCTTACGGATTTGAAGTCGGCGAAAAATAGTATTTTCATTTAAATTCGTCTTAAATTGGATTTCAACGTTAATAAAATATTTTGGAGTTTTTTTACTCCTAAATTCTAAATTTTTACCAAAACTAAACTTTATTCGGTTCAATCACCGTAATTATAATAAATTAGTAATAATCTATCGGCTTATAAATTGGAGCGTGACAGTGGCGAGAATTTGTGTCATTGATACGTCGATCTGGCAGTACCATTGAGTTTAGATTGGGTGCATTCAATCGAGAGTGATTAGTTTTCATTCTTTTATGACTGTTTTGAGCTATGAGCTAAAGGTCTCGCGAGGACTAGAAATGGGCATGAGTATTATGGTTAGATTCAATGTGTGTTGTTTGATATGATTTGTGCAATTAGGACTGAGGTTAGCTCCCACTACAACAAAATATATCAAAATTGGCGACTAAAAAAAATTTAGTCGCCAAAAGTTGTAGAAATGGCGACTAAAAATTTATTTAGTCAGCAAAAGTAAAATATTTAGCTACTAATTTTTTTTAGTCGGGGTATATTGTTTATTGGCGATTAAAAAAAATTGAGTCGCCAAAAATGCCAGAAATTGGTGACAAAAAAAAAAATTTAGTCGTCGTATGTAGAGATTTGGCTACTAAAACGCTTTAGTTGTCGATTGGAAAATAAAAAAATATTTTTTACCTTTGGTGACTAAAATTTCAGTTGCCAAAAGTTGATTTTCAGCGACGAAAAATAATTTTAGTCGCCATAGGTAGAGATTTGGCTACTAAAACGCTTTAGTCGCCGATTGGAAAAGAAAAAATTATTTTTTACCTTTGGCGACCAAAATTTTAGTAGCCAAAAGTTTATGATCAGCGACGAAAAATAATTTTAGTCGCCAAAGAACTAAAATTATTGGAGGGAGATATTTTAAATAGTTTGGAGGGATTTATGAAATACTTTCAGCGACTAAAAACTTTTAGTCGCCAATGGTGTAATATATATATATTTGGTTTCCAAACCACAAACCAGCGCCTCTTCTCTCTTTCTTCAGCAGTTCTCCCTCTGCCTCTCCATCTCACCACCGACTGTCACTACCACTGTCGCTGGCCACTGTCCATCCCCACCGTCGCACGTCGCCACCGCCATCGCCGAAATCACCACCAACACTGCCGCAAATCACAGGTTTGTCACTGTCGCGTTCAGTCCTCTCCATTGTTGTCGATCTGGGTCTCTCTCTCTGTGTCGAGCCATTCCCTCTCTCTCTGTCTCTGTGTGTGTGTGTGTGTCTCTCTCTCTCTCTCTCTTCCCCTATTTCCCCATTTCTCACACTTCATCTAGGGTTTAATTTTGTGTTAATTTTGTGTTGATTTTGATAATGGGTTTGGTTCGATAATGGGTTTTGTCTACTCTAAATTACCAATTCAACTAATTTTAATTCATATTTCATATTTTATTGATGATTAGATAATTGGGAAAACATGAAATGTTGATAGCTTCTAGTAACTGATTGGTTAGCATATTGCATGAAATTGAATATACATTTCTGTCACATTTTCTGGTTCTGTCTGATGTGTTTTGAGTCATTTGATCAGAAACAAAAATGTAGTAACATGTTGAACATACAACTCCTTGCTACCTGTTAATTTATTTATAGCGATCCCGGGTTTACCCTTGTTGTACAGTGATCCGGACATGTGTCCGTGGATGTTGGATGTTGTTTATTATCTTGTTTGCATCCTTTTTACTTTGTATTTTGAGTTATGGGATGTGTTGGGCAGGTTTGTTACAGGTTGGTTGTGCTTGGGAACCAAGTGTTGCTGCCCAGATTTTTGGTCCTTCGCTCGAGCGAGGAGTTTGTCGCTCGAGCGAGAGTTGTGTTGCACCTGGTTCTGGACCTGAGAGTTGTAGTTTCTGGCTCGAGCGAGAGTTTCGTGGCTCGAGCGGTCTGGGTTTTTCTTCGCTCGATCGAGAACTTCTTGGCTCGAGCGAGAGTTTTCTGTGTCTGGTCGCTCGAGCGACCAATCCTTCGCTCGAGCGAGCGTGTTTTATATCAGCGGACAGCAGCGTCTAAAACATCACTTTTTCAGTCCTTTTCTTTGATTAAACCCTAAATCCGACACCCTCTCTCTCTAAACTTGCACTCTCTCTAAGATTTGATCTCCCTAAGGTGTGAATCTAGCCTAGGGCCTTTGTTAAAAAGATAGAGGGCGTTGAGAGCTTCAATTTAATCTGAAAAAGTTTGGATTTGGAGCAAGTGGATCTTGGAGTCTTCATCTCTTTTTGGCTGAAACTTCAAGGTAGGGATATCCTACTCCTCTCTATGGCCGAGCATCAGAGGCCAGCGGGTTTGTTGCAACCCTTGCCTATTGCCGAGTGGAAGTGGGAGCATGTCACTATGGACTTCGTTGTAGGTCTTCCGAGGACTCAACGGGGTAGTGATGCTATTTGGGTGGTTGTAGACCGGTTGACTAAGTCGGCGCACTTTATTCCTATGCGCGTGAGAGATTCGGTAGATCATCTCGCCGACTTGTATATT